CGGTACTAGGCATCACACGTATCATACAAAAAGTAGGGTCTTGGTATGAATTTGTATGTGTTCACCTTTTTCAAAATGCCCCTAACTCGGGTGCTATTGGCAGCCGATTCAAAAAGTACCCGGACGCCTTGGCGTCGAGACAGCGAGAATTTGTGCCGAGGTGTCCGGATACTTTTTAAATCGGCCAGTACCGTCCTCATCCAATAAATCGCCACCCAATACCAGAAAACGAACTTCATGGAGTTAATTAGGCGTCAATTTTAAGTAGTCCTATGTAGAGCTTTTCTCTATAAACTTGTTCCTGTTGTTGGGGCCCGTTCGTCGCTTTGGCCGTGGTGAGGTCAATCCCAGACGCCTGGCACACTATGCAATGAAGTCCCCCATGCACTGACCGACCCTGGGGGAACCGTGTGTCGTTTGCTGATAAAGTCGCAGGTTGGGCCTTCCTGCTCTGCTCACCGAAACAGCCCCCCTCCGTGCGTAAAGCATCTGTACCGCTCCGTAACCGTGTCACCGCAGTGGTATCCTACTCAAGTATTTCTTCATTTTATATTTTTCCTCAACCTTTTTCCACTGTGTATTCCACAAGGCAAAAGCTCGCGGTCGCAGTTGTTAGGCGACTTACATCTGTCAACCTTCCCCTCGTCTGGTTGGGGAGGGGGTAACTCGAGGGATGCACTGAAGCATAGATTTTTCCCCTACATTCCCCTCTACCTTCTTTTTCTCGTGGGAAAAATGCAAAAATTCCTGTCCACTTTCGAAGACCGTGCTTACCGGCCGGGGAGATATGGTCTTATCGCTCCCCTGATTCTTTGGCACAATAACCCCTGCGTCTTGGTATTTTTTTCGAGTATTGTGCCTGTACGAGCACTATAGGATTTGTTCAACATCGCATCTGGACAGACCTTGTCTTTAGCCATCCTAGGCAAAGCGGATAGAGGGGTAGACCATGGTATTCCGAATGAACCCCTCCGGATTCCTTCAATATCGTTATTTACCCAGATTCCGGGTTTCGACAAGGAGGAGGGAAAAAAGAAAAACAAGAAAAGGAAAAAGGTGTGACCCAGACCTCAATGGGTCCTGGACTTTGTCCTTGCCAAACCACTTACTGCATGGTGCTTGTAACGTACCGGTATCGTATCAGTAATGTTGGAAAGCTCCAATTCGTGAGGGTTCTTGGGTGGCCACCGGTGCTGGAGGAACGAGCGAATTTCTTTGTTCTCCAGATGACCATAACCGGGCAACAATACACATGACGACAGAGGAGGCACCAGCCAAAATACCATGGGCGTTTCTGGCTGGCGGTGAATCGTGGTGGTGGTTCGTGATCGTGACGAGTTTGTATCTGATGGGGTTCCCCCTATCTGTAATTTCCAATCGGTGCCACGACAAACAAGACAGATGAACACAGTAAAAATTGAATGTGAAGAGCGGACGTCCGGGGGTGTCTGTAAGCGGGGTTACAGGAATTCTTGAGACTCCCGATTACCGGGTTCACCAACATCACCGGGGTTTGAAAGGAAAAGAAAAATAATGCAAGGGAAAAAAGAAAAGAAAAGAAAAAGAAAAAGAAAGAAGAGGGAGGAAAAGAAAAGAAAAGGTGCTGTACGAGTACGGGTAGACAGACAGCACTAACTTAGTACTAGTACGAGTACAGTATGCTATGCTGATAACACGGTTAGTCTAAGTTTGTCGGCTGACAGAGTTGAGCTTTCCCTCCCCGATCCAATGATTTTCTTCCATTCTTCCAGCTCACGATATGGCCCTGTGGGAGGGCACTGTACTGTACTCGAGTACATGTGGGAATTACGGGGCCAGCAGGGCAGCGGCCTATGCTCTGGGGTTACTTTCCCCCTTCCATCGGGATCGTGTGGGACTGCGAGAAGTTTGGGATCCAAATGTCCCTCTCCAGCCGCAATGCTGTCCTTTTCTCGGAGTTTTCTTTGTTTCTCACATGTGGTGCCGTTGTTGTTCGTAGATAACGGGTTTAGCGTGATACGGTTCGTTGTTAGCAGACACCTCATATGCCCAAAAGGTTTCACAAAATTCCTCCTCCCGAAGCAAGAGTATACTCAGCACTTCCTTCACAGTGCCTTTGACCATACCTTTTGGTGCTTCCCTTGTTCTTTTCGGCCTCATATCTGAGACATCACCTTTGCTTCCCTTTCCCCCTCCTCCATGTGTGATATCGAGGTTACAGTATGATACCGCACATGTTGTCCAAACCAAATTGGCGTGGTCCTGATAACCTCAGCCTGCAGAATTACCCTAACCCATAGTGATACAACTGTCTTGTTTCCTGGAACAGACACTCGCCAAACTGCAGAGTCAGGGCTCTCCCCGGATCCGTCCGGTAAACTGAACTGGGGTGAATAAGGTGGGCACACGGAAGATGGGCATCAGAGAGGACAGCTCAAAGGACCATTTCAACACTGGCGACTAGCTCAACCAGCATAATTAATACCGTTGCTCCAATGCTACTTCGGGCCCGATTGAACGAGACCGAACTTTCCACCGGCAAAAAAATTGGATAGAGCCAAGTACCTGAGGTGGCTGAGCTGAAAGCACAGTCATCACGTTAGTTTATGAGAAAAGACACAAAGTTCCTATCTGAGAACTTGATCAGCATGGCAGGGGTTAGCCCCCCTTATTCTCCCTTAATCCCACAAGGTCTATCTCTCTCTCTCTCTCTTTTTCTCACCCTGCCCTCGTAGCATGGTTGAAGTTGGACTCTTCGCATGGTGACTGCCGCTCCAAGTGTCCGACTTCGGCCCGGTGGCGCGAGTGCATTGTGTTGTGGTGCTCTTTGGACTGGGACACTACGGTACTCGAGTACCGCACTCGCGTCTCCGCCCCATGAATTGGCGCCCCTTTTGGAATAGCCGGAGGCCCATGGAAAGGGCAAACGGATGCCAATTCTTGGCTCGGAGACACTTGTATGGATTCGCTGGGCCTCGAATGCTAGAGGGAGTTTTATGATGGAAGGGGGTTTGGCTGCTTGCCTAGTGGGGGCTGATGCTGGTTTTGGGAGACCTGCTTGCTTCCGGGAGGAAAAAGCTGTGGCTTGGCTTTTTGAGAATACCGCGTCTTGTCTTGGGATTCCCTTTGATTGTTTAACCCGATCCGTTCTTCACAGTTTTTTTTTTTTCTTAACTTGACGCTCTGGGCGAATCTTTTTTTCGGGTGTTAAGCGTTGGTGCTCTCACAGTGGCGCCAATGATCTGCAACCAGTCCCGCAAGCAGCAGTAGATCTCACAACGTCCGCATGTGACTTCGTGCAACGGTCCATCTTGGGAAATAAAGCTTTCTTTCTTGCTCCTTTTTTGTCGTGATAATATTTCCGTGAGTGGGATGGAAAATGCAAGTGCTTCTTTGGAGGCGTTTTTATTTCCTTTTCCTATCAGTTTTGGTTTTCCTTTTTGTTTTGCTGCCAACCTCCCCTGCTTCCTCACCCCTCCTGAGGTTTTTTGGTTCCGGCGGCAAGGTCGCACCGAGGGAGTCCCTTGACGTCGCTCCCATGCATTATCATGCCAACAGCGGGCACAGCCAGTGGGGGAATAAATATTGTTACAGTATAAATGGATCACTGTGACAGGACAAGGCAGGTCTTGAATGCCTATTGCCCACACCCTAGGTCAGAATTGACTTGGTCACTGCTTTCAATCTCTCATTCGCTCACATTGGTCACCGTTCAGGCAGCTTTGCTTTGATATTTTCACCGAGCAGGAAGGTGCTCCATTCAATGGCTAGGGCTGGCTCGACCGGCCAGCCATAGCAACTTGTTTTTTTCCCCTACTGTAATGTAAGCGTGTTATGGTGCTTATGAGTTGTTGTTCCTGGATCCTCCCCTGCGTTTTTTTCTTTTCTTTTCCTTTGCCCGTTTCTCGAAGTCTCCTGTGTATGGTGTGTTCCTATATTTCTTGTTTTGGGTCACTGATTTTGCCTCTTTTTCTCACGTCCAGTTTTTTTTTGTGGAATAACCTCAACTATTTTCTCTTACCTGGGGAGGGTGTTCAAGTAATCTCGCTGCGTCCCTTGCGTGAGTGTACCTGTCATCATGCATCAGAATATGGGTACGAACAAAAAACTTGTGCGCGTGCTACTGCTGGTGGTGGTGGTGGTGGTGGAGCTGCTCCTGGTGACCCCCCTCCGCTCTTTCCCTTTCTTCGTCTTAGATAGAATGGAAGGAGGGAAAAGGGTCTTACACCATCAGAACGGGCAAACGGATAGAAGGGCTCAAGGGGGGGGGGAGTGGGTATTGAAGGATAGAAGGCACGACAATCTACCAGTGCTTCCAAAGGGGAAAATGAAGAGTGAGAAAAGAATTGGCTGGGAGGGCAAGTGAAAGGGAGAGGGAGAGGGAGACCGGTTCTTCCCGCCAAATCCGTTTTCACGATATCCCACAGGAGGCTGTCCATTCGAATATACCGCCACCTTTGCTTTTTTTCAACCTGCTACTACCACACTGGGAAAGAGGAATGGTAAAATAAAATAGAAACGGTTATCTCTACTACCGCAATCCTGCCAATAGATACCTCTGGCACATCGGTTTGGGACTCAAACCCCCGTGCAGTCTAGCCTGACCCTCCCAAGATGTCAACGGATGGATGCTTGCATGCCCAGGGTACTGTACAAGTTTGACTGCATGCATGCAATTTCGGAGACTCGGTTGCCCAAAGCTAGCTTGTCGCTACATCTCTCATTCATAATCTTATTTCGAGGGCCTCCCTCCCCACAGCTTTGTGGTTTTATTTCTTTTCTTTTTTGTTATTATTACTTTTTCACAGGATAATCTTGTTGACCATCTATCGATTTACCCCAAATCTCTCAGGCGGAAAGTCGGACAAGTCGATCTTGCGGACCTACCCTTCTTCCCCACTGCCTACCTCATAATCTCGCAGTCATCAGACGACGGCGGTCTTGATCGTGATCCATCTAATTGTCACGGCATAAGGGGTTCTCTCAATAGGGCTCAACGACACATACTCCCCCCCCCCCCCGGAACCCTACTTTGACTCTAGAAAATAGGAGGGAGAAAGAGAGTGTGGAGGAGCGAGAGATAAAAACAGAGAAAAGGGGGGTTAGAAACGACATCGATTTAAGCTATTAGCTTCGAACAGACCTCGGGGCTATTGTACCCTTGAGCTAGCAAGGACGAAGTTTGCTCGTCCACGGGTCCAACGGTATTTTAGTGCCGGTCTATTTCGCCGACGAAGAAAGGTACAAGTTTATCGCTGCAGGCGCCGCCGCTATACTGCCCACGCGGAGATCGTCTAGAATTCGATTGGGGTTTACTTTCTGAAGGGGTGCCAAAAGCTCTACTCTACATTCGAGGTCTGGTCGAAATTGCCGAATTTTTGGTGACGGATTGTTCATCAAGCGGCCTTCTCGTTAGGTAGCATACCCCCCCTCCCTCTCTCCCCCCAAGCTTTTTTTCTTCCACCGCCCCGCCAGTTCTGCCCGCCCCCCATATTCCTGCTGCCAAACTTCCACGCCCCCTTCGTTCTGGGAAATCAAAGCAACTATCGCATGAAGTTGTCAGATTGCAGAGCTCAGTTGCCATGATTGCTGTATTTAGTCAACCTCCCGGCTGCTTGCTCACCTGAACATCACTATAGCTACCTCTTCCTACCCCTCGGGCACACTGAAGAGAGAAAAAGAGTTAAAGGGAGGGGAATCGGACCGTGGATGATACAGGGAATCCACCCGGGCTTTTTTGGATTTAAACCTCAGGCCACCAAGCAACAGAACCTAATACGGAGTTCGCCAAAACAAAGGCTGGCTCAGTACGACCCTATCAGTTTGCCTCGTCCACTCTCCTGCCCGTGTAATCGAGGGCTGAAAGACATCAGAGAGTCGACAACTACTTTGTCCGTTGGGCCTTAATATTGGAGCACCGGATTATCTCGAAGGACCAAGTTTTTATCCATTGGCTGACAGTCCCTCCGGCGTATAAGAAGGGCTTCCACCCCCTCCCACATCGGACTGCAGGAACCATTACGCACGATTGCGTGTATATTCTTCAAACACCTTCAGCTCTTTCCAGGAGCTAATACATCCAGAGCCAAACCCATTGGCTCAGCCTCCGTTCACTTTATTCCCAATTTCCATCCACTCTCGGCCTTCCTCCCATCGCTTCCCTTTTATTCTTTTATTTTTTCGTCTCATTTTTTAAATTTCCTTTTAATCCAGGTGAGCTGGTGCCACGTTTCGTTCGATAGCGCAACAGGGAGTGCAGAGGTCGGGCTGCTGATATTCGCTTCTAGATCTTGTCCAATTCCCTTCGGGCCGCATCGTCGTCATCTTCACTACTCTGGCCTTTCCTTTTCCTCCCCACAGCACGATATCACCCACAACAACAACGATCATGAACGAAGCTTCGACTTCAGGCTCGGTAGAACCGACCTTTGAGGGATTCGTCGAGAGTACCAGAGATGCCCTCCTCCTTTTCCAGGGTGTCATCAACCAAGCCTTACCGATGGTGCCTCGCCGTCCTCACGAACGGGAGAGAGAATCATTGATAAGATCCGGAGCCATCTTCGTGTACGAAGAGAATACATCAGCGATCAAGAGGTGGACTGACGGGATTGCTTGGAGTCCGAGTCGGATAATTGGGAACTTTCTCATTTATCGAGAACTAAAGAAACCATTCGCACCGGGGGAGAAGAAGCGCGCTACCAAGGTAGCCAAACGCAGACAGGCTTCCCAACAAAGATATTCCCGTGCCAGAAGCGATGGAGGTGGATCAAGCCCCGGGTCACACCATTCTTCCCACTGCGGATCGCTTTCTCCTCAGCCCCATTCTTCGCCAGAGGAAGGCGAGATGAGGGTCCCAGATCTGGGGCCAGATTTGGAGCGTATGCTCGTGGGGTCTCTAGTCGATTCATATGGGTTCAAGCCTGATGGCTTGATAAAAAAGACAATTAGTGTTCAATTCGGTCCCGGCACTTACCACATGGTTTCCTACTATAGATTATCTGACTTCGTCGACAGTCACCTAAAGAGGCCTACGCAGGACCCTCGATGCTCTCGCTTGGCTATTCATCAAGACCTCGTCAACAAGCAATCATTCCGTCAGATTGTTGATTCCAGCGGTGTCGAGCTCTCGCAGCCAAGCGAAACTAGATATCCGAATAGCCCTTCACTGCCCGACACACACCCCAGTCAAGTTATTAGCCCTGCCTGCTCGGATTACGGCTATCAGCCTGGGGGATACAATCCCATAGAGCAGCGGTACGACAACAGCGGATACGCAAGTGCTCAAGATATCCCATATGCATACTCGCCAAATGGTCCTCGGGAAGGTAGTGGCTTTGGAGGATTTGGGGGTCGAGTGGCTCGAAGACACCAAGGTTTTGGAAACCAAACGCCAGTTGGATATAACGTTAGCCCCATGGGGACGGACGCCGGGACATACTTCCCTCATGCCCCAAGCACACACCCGAGTCCCATCCACGCGATTCCCACGGACTACGCCAGTACCACTATGGGCGACAACAATTTACCTAGAACAGCGGTTCATTATAGCCATAATACCATCAACGGACCCGACATGCGCCGACCAGCCCCAGCTCGTTATAGTCCTACCGAGGTGGCCAACTTGCCCCGCACCCTCCCTGGTCACTACGGTCATACAGCTACTGCTGGGGATGGACTTCCTCGAACCCCGGCAGCTAATTTCGGTGCCTCCATTACTGATGGAGGATCACTCTCTCGGGCGTTCCAGCCCCGTGGAAGCCAAGGACTCGAGGACCCACGATATTCTCCTTCGAATTCTCCTTGGGGTGATAATGGGCCGAATAGTGGATATTACCATCACCAGCATCCACAGCCTCCTCACAGCCCATTCAATCCGGATCAGGCCAATGGGGGCGGTTATGGCCACTGATTCTATCGATATACGAAGAGCATATTATGGATTGGTGCGGGGCGTTTGGGCGATGCAATTTTGAAATTGATAGATGTTCGGTGTGACGATACGGTTGGGATGGCGTTTATTTTCTGCATTTTTAAAGGGATTTCCTATCTTGCCTCGGTATTATTATTTTTTCATTTTTTTCTTGAGAGCAGTCGGAGCATTGGACTCTGAAAGTCACTGTGCTCTCAAAGATTACTATTCCCTTTGGGGGTCACATTGAAGCGCTAAACCAATCCTTTGGAGGTATAACATTGCTTCCTTTGCTGGTTCCTGGCGCCTAGTTTGTGGATTCTGAATTCCATAAAAAGCTTTGGTTCTCGGAATCACTAGACTTTCGAGTCGTCTCAGTTATTTTTATTTTTTTATTTTTTTTTGCATTCTTTGGTTCCAAAAGTGGATCCTGTGTTGATAATTTTTTCATTTCGTCCTCTTGATTAAGGTTGGTGGGGGTTTGACATCTGAAAATGTTAACTATCTTAACCTCGCAGTCAGAGTGGGATTAGGTAACACTTGTTTCTTTTTTTTTTTTTTAGAAGCATTTTCTCCCAAAAGTTTGGTTTTTTAGTTTCCGGTTGCAATCCCATGTGGGGGGCGGGGCGGGGCGGTGTTCTCCTTTCGTTTCTTTTTGTTGGAGGGACAAGTGGTATTAATACGCTCATGACTGTCGTTTTTGTTGAGGCTGGGGAGCGAAAATGAGGGCTGTCTGCAACCATCTGGTGTTTGATGGTATACGTTGTGTATGACTTATCATTAGCAGAGAGACTTAAGGAGTGATGGGGTATGTTTTGTAAAAATCACACCTGGAGTCAGGCGATGGGCCAAAATTGTCAGCCGGAGGTTGCGGTTGATGAGTTGTACTTGTGATGTGATAGCAGTAGCAGTGCGGTAGCTGTGGTGGTTACATTCACTGCAAGTAGCCATCAGGGTGAACTGGTTGGTGCATAAAAAGTTTCCAGGGAACTCGAAGCATGGCGGAGGCGAAACTTATATCTCCAGCGTTTGTACAGCATTGATGTTAATTCGGCGTAGATATTGTGCGGGGAACGACAGGACCGGAAGCGCGAATAATGTTATGTACTGTATGCAATGCAATATGAATGTATGTACACGAAAAGGGGCGTGAAGGAGGGAAGAGAGTCAGTAGGGAAGTATAAGAGATGTTACTCTGCCGTGGCTGTGGAGGATTGTTGACTTAGAGGTGGATGGAAGGCAACTATGCAGGTAATCATGGTAGTTGTTTTTGGGTTGAGGGAAAAAATGCTGTGCGCAAGGGAAAGTGCACAGGGGGGAGAGAGAATAATAAACTGGCCTTGGTAATCTCGTAGTACAGTACAGTCCGTCTTATGGCTGGCGGAGGGTGGGGGGTGGGGATGGGAGCATTACATATGATATGATTGAATCGGAGGAGAGAGAGGTTCTGAATACACGGGAGTCCGGTCACTCACCCTTGTGGTCTTGGCACTGCAAGAAAAAAGAGGAATGGTGCGAACAATCACAAATCTGCGGTCATTACACCAGTCGGCTGTTCACCATCGCGCATTCCCGCAGTGATTAGACTACATTCACTCGAGTGCGGAGAGCCCCTGCCGGCTGTGTTAGCGGGAGCGGATTGGGGGAAAAAGGAAATAGGGTAGGGAAAAAGAAAGGGGAACAGGGAAAAAAAGAAAACTGGGGGAAAAGGGTGGAGGAAAAAAAACAAAACACCACCGTATCCGAAGAAGATCCTGTCAGCCCTGTGGGTCAATCCTTTACGTCAAGGAACCACAGTATATTCCTATCTTTAGTGCCGTTCGCCGAATAACTGGGAGGACGTACCATAGCTTCGTACGGGCTGAACCCCACGCCCACAAGGCAGTCAGAGTTTTGGACTGTGGTTGTCTTATCGTACGTTTGCCCGCCTTGTCCTTCACTTCATTTCCACTCCACCAAACCCATCCACCTCTGTTTGGTCGTTGGCAAGGACTGGAGGAAGGACTGCAATATTGAGAATTGGGGAGATTGGGTTAGGGAATGGCGACGATAACGATAACACAGCCGCTTCGGTCCTTGGTTTCACGCTCCTCGGTCGCAGGAATATCTGCTGGTGTCACCACCGTCATCAGTGCTGATGCTGCCGCTGCCGGCGCTCTCTCCATGCTTGGACGGCGCCAGCCGGTACCATCGGGGGCACGGGCGCCAGTGCGCCGGCGAGCGATCACGGCAATGGGTTTGAGTGATGGGAAAGAGGGTGTCTTCTTTATCGCGGGTTCGCGGCATGCGGTGGGGTGAGTGATATTTGCATCCCCCGTTTCTTCCACCCCTCACTCACCCCCATCGCCGACAATTCTCCCTTATCGGAATTAAGCGTGACCATGCCACCATGGGCTGACACACGCACTCCTGCTTTGGGACAGGAAGGAAGGAATTGCGGGATCCAGTACCACGTTGAGTTCGCTTCGGAGTGCCGTGAATAATCTTCAGCAGCGCCGAAGATACAATCATCCTCGCTCTCTCCATGCTTCCTCAGCCCTTCTCGTATCGGACAGGGAAAACACGTAATTGATTCCCCCCGCAAACACTATTCCCTTCCCCACCCCCCATTCCCTTCAATTCATTCTTTCCACCTTCCATCCCGGACTAGACTTCGAACCGGAGATGGAAGGAGGGAATACCAACGCACCGCTTCAATTCCTGCTGAGAGCAAACCCACTAAAACTTGCCGTTATCTTTATCGATACCTGACAGACCCGGGCATAATACGGCCGCCACGACCACTACCAAATCTGCTCCCGTAAAAAAGCGCCGAAAGATACTCCCTATCACCCCGCACGAGGACATTTATAACATCCCCAACTTTTTAACCTTTTCACGTTTACTGGCTTCGCCGATCATCGGTTGCTTGGTGCTACAGGAGCAACACGCTGCGGCGCTGGCGTTGTTTGCTGCGGCGGGACTGACGGATCTCGTCGATGGTTACTTGGCAAGGAAATGGAACCTCAAGACGGTCGTTGGATCAGTTATTGACCCTATGGCGGACAAGACTCTAATGACCGTTTTGACTGTCACTCTGGCTATGAAGGGATTGTTGCCAGGTTAGTGCCCACGCTTGGCTCCATTGAATCGATATTCCGTGCTCTGTGGTAGGCGACATCGGGCGGCTGGATAACTAGTGCTGACGAGGCGGGATTTCCTGCTCGTACTTGCAGTCTGGCTCGCAGGAATAATTTTGGGCAGGGACATCGGGTTGGCGATCTCCGCAATCTATTTCCGCTGGATTTCGCTCCCTCCGCCAAAGACTATGGCGAGGTACTGGGATTTTTCCTTGCCCAGTGCAGAAGTGCGCCCCACCACCATCAGTAAGGTTAGCATCCCGCGGGTATGGAGGGGTTCCATGGGCCGTCCCTTCTTACTTTAATTGCACTACTTCCAGATGTCACGCAATATTATTGGCACTAATGGAGATACAGCTGAATACTGCGTTACAGCTGGGGCTGATCGGTGCTTGCATGGCGCACCCTTTCATGGTGGCTATGGTACCGGATTGGGACGTTGCTCTCCAAGTAATGCAGTTAGTATTCCAACTCCTTGATTATTATTGAGATGATTGCTGAGTACTCTATTTCTCTATAAAAGATACACGGTCGCAACCACCACTATCTGGAGCGGTCTCTCATATGTGTACTCGAAGGATGCCGTCAAAATCCTTAAGCCGCCCCAGGAGCCGGAAGACGGGGCGAACCCTGACGATAATAAGAAGAAAATGACCTAGCCTTCGGCTACCTGACTCCGCACCGGCCTCCCCGAAGCAGCGGGTGAGGGTAGGCAGCGGGATGATAACAGGTCTCACTAGTAGCTTGTAAATTGGGACTTGATAAACAATAACGAGGGAGACAGTAAATGAGATCTCGAGCATTCACTCACAGAAACGCGCATACTATACCCGCGTACTATAGCTCCGCACAGAATACCCGTCCTGTCACAGTCCCCTCCCGAGAAGCAGCTACCCGCGCCGGGGTTAGTCACAAGTGGAAAGCCCGAGTGATAACAAATGATGCATGTGATTTCCTCCTTGAGAGGGGGCACAATGCTTGCCTATATATCCGTCGAATCTCCTGCATTCTCGAGTACTACAATGTTGTAGAACAGCCGGGAACCTCGGTATTATATCTGCTCACACAGTTTCTGGATCGAAATCGTTCCATTTTTGGTGGTGACGCAGCAAAGAAGGGGACTTCGATCAGGCGGATGACAACGCGTAAATTACCATACGCTCGGCAATAGGCTCTTGGGCCGGACTGTTCAATGGCTGTGGCACTGGTCCGGCAAACTCCAGTGCACGGGTGAATTAATGAATGGCACAGAGTTGTCTCACTTGCGAGTACAGTACAGTAACGCCTCGTGGGCGCTTTGTTAAAGCAAGGCAAGCACGGTAAGGTGCCGCGGCTTGGCTGACGTGCTCGGATTCTGCAGGGCACAAGATAGACTTAAGCCTTTAAAGTATGATACCGGTTCCACTGGCATACTGCACCGTATGTATGGTGCTGTAGAGTGCCGTATTAATTCTTGCGATCCGCCATCCCCGTCAGGCCTCTCCTTGTAATATCCTTGCAAATCGCGGCGTCTGTCCACCTTGGGTTTAGCTGGGCAAAGTTAACGGGATTGCGAAAACGAGTTAACGAGATCCGACACGGCCCTCAGGACCCGTGTTACCGGTATATCCATGTCGGGAATGCACTAACTTTAATCCTTCGCGGAACTTTCCTTTCCCTCCCGGATCCCGAGATAAGCGAGGTGGCGGGGTGAGGAGCGGATCGCGGGAGTTGATAGGCCCAATTTTCCGGATATAACTCTTGCCAAGGTCGCGGCTTGGGCGCCGCAACACCCCGAAAGTTTACAAGAACTTTCTTTTTTCTTTTTCGGGGGCACTCAATGTTGATTGTATGTTGTTTTCGGATAAAATAATCTGAATGGCGACTGAGGGAGTGGTAGGCTTAGTGCTAACTAGTAGCAAGTAGCAGGTAATAGGTTAGTAATGTCCTGTACCTAGTTATGGGTCAACTACTGATAATGGATCACTTTTATAAAAGTTTCAAATCACTGGCAAGGAAAATCTGGCACCGCCAATTCCATCTTGCTTATTATAGTTAGATATTTGTAAGCTAAGAATATATTGCTTTAGGCTTGATATACAAAAAAAAATGATTACAGAAAACCAGCTCCTGACTATTTACTATTAAAAGTAATAATTTGTAGTCTAGTTGTAATCTACCTTAGAATTCTAACTTAGAACTATTCTACTAGTATAGTTCTTTTTATATGAAGAGTACTAGAGGTAGATAGTAGTACATAGATCCCTACTTCGGATATACAACACTGTCATAATAGTTAGCCACTGGCAGTAGTATATACTATGTTTAAAGAAGAAGTCTTGGAAGAGAATTTGGCAACCAAATTTGGCAATGTTCAAGCAAGAAGAGAACAAAGAATTAAAGTCTAGAGATTGAGTCCAGAGGCTCAGATACCCCACAAGAGGGTCTAAGAAGGTAATAGAACATGATCTGTATGCATATGAAAGAAGGAAGATACTAGTTAAAAGACAGGTAACTATATATACAGGAATAACTATTGGACTACTTTAAGGAACTTATGGACATATAGTACCTCACAGTTGACTAGCAGTCAAGTATAGAGTCATGACTAATGCAGCCTAAGATGTAATAGATGCTGACTACATTGGAGAATTAAAAGTAGTCCTAGTTAACCTGGGCCAAGAAGATTATAAAGCTAAAAAAGTAATAGGATGGTACAAATAATTATCAAAAAAATCAGTGAAGAGGAACTCCAGAAAGTAGACAACCTAGGAGAAACCTAAAGAAGAAAACAAGGATTTTGAAGCATGGACCCTCAACTAGAAACTCCACACATTTAAATCAATAAGCTATCAGTACAAGCATTTGGAAAGATCTGCTATAAGCAAGAAATAGTAAGTCTTTTTAGATAGAATCTCTAAGAAGAAAAAGTTGAGTTAGCCAAGATTAATCTAAGTACTGAACTAGTAATAAGGAACCAAAAGCAACAGAAGGACAAATAGCTAAATAAGCTAATTCTAAAAGAATACTACTAGTACTTAGATCTATTCTAAGAAGGAAAATATATTAAGTTGCTACTTTAGTGAGAAGAGGTATATTTAGAAATCAACCTTGAAGAAGAAAAGATAATACTCTAGAGAAAGATATATTTGTTAGGAGAAATAGAGTGCAAGGAAGTAAGAAAATATATTCTATAGAACTTGAACAGAGGATGGACCTAACATTCCTATACTAATGGAAGATCATTCATTCTATTTATTAAAAATAATAATAGACATGGAAAACTAAGACTCTGTATTAACTATGGAGTACTTAACAAAGTAATCAAGAAAGATCAGTATCTATTACTTCTAATAGGAGAAGTCTTAGATCTACTTGTATTAGCCAAGTACTTCACCAAACTGGATATCAAGAATACCAACTACAATATACATATAAAGACAGGAAACAAGTGGAAAACAAGTTTTGTATTCTGATATAGTACCTATAAGTATTTGGTAATACCTTTTAGCCTACAAATGTACCTGCAACTTTCTAATAATAGATCAACAGGATACTAAACAAATACCTTAATATATACTATATCATCTGCCTAGATAACATACTCATATACTTAGAAAATATAGAACAGCATCAGAAGTATGTAAGTAAGATCATATACGATATTAATATAGCAGGAATGAAATATAAACCTACAAAAAAATGGTTTCAAAAACAAGAAACAGAATGCCTAGAATTTATTATTATCTTTGAAGGAGTCCAGAGAAACCCAGTTAAGAGCAAGGAAATATGGGAATAGGACAATTCAAAGAATAAAACAGCTATCCAAGGTTTTATAAAATTTTACAACTTCTATAGAAGGTTAATAGAAGGATTTAGTCATATAGTGAGATCTTTATACAACCTTATTAGGATGGATATCAAAAGAAACTGGAAAATAGTAGAAGAAGATACCTTCAATGAATTCAGGACCAAAATAACTAGGATCTCTACACCAATTTATTTTAACTTCTAAAGAGAACCAATGATTAAAATATTTTTTTATGTATTAAAATATGTTTGTTTGAGAGTCCTATCACAGAAAAGTGATAATGGAAAACAGTCTAGTAGCTTTATAATCAAAAACAATGAGGCTTGTAGAATATAATAATAATATCTATAATAAAGAACCATTAGTAATAGTCTAGATTCTCAAAAAAAAGGGAGATAATATATATAAAACTGTTAAGAATCCTACCGAGTAGGACCTAGCGACAGGTAACGGGACTTCTCTTTAAGTTGATAGCTCTCAGGCCTATGCCTACACGATCCCGATAGTCCAGTCCTTTGACTACTATCGTGTTCATACCTATCTTCTTATTCTTCTCCTTAGTCCTCGCCTAGGACTTTTAATCTCTTCTCGTGAGAGGAAAGACACTTCTCGGGTTTCTTAAGATAAATCTTAAAGAGCGTAAAGGTAGGTTTTATTGATAATAACTTAAAGGTAGGAAATAAACAAGAAGAACGTGTGAAGAGCTCATACTTGGGGTCCTAGTGATCCTTTATATAGTCGCTCTTCACCTGGCGTGACTCACACCTCGTGTCACGCGAACCCTGTGACTCATAACTATGAGTCATATGAAATCCATCAGACGACTCCTATGAGTCGCTGCGCAACATGCCTTAAACCAATCAAAACATAATAACTAAGTCAAGTGCGCAACTGTCACGGCCACCCGGTGTACGGGACGTGGAGGAACATTGGACTTTTGGTTGCATATATCGGCTGTGGTTTCGTTGGTTGCATTGTAGGATTTCCTTTGTATTATGATTGGGATAGGTTGCCGCGCGACGGAACCTGGCGGAACATGACGGAAGGATCGCGGCTGCGTGCGACGCCAAGGACTTTCTTTTTGTATTAGTGATCATGGAGGATTTCCTATCTATATAAGGGGGTGTACCCCCTTATACTTTATGTTCTTTACGCAATCTGGTAATCTCCTTCGGACACCCTTTTTTACGTTCCAAGGATCCACCTAACCTCCACGTCGTCCCTGACTTTATCTCACGATAACTTCAGGCCTTGTTCGCGAAGGAATCTTTACCTTCGCTTACATTTATTAACCTCGTAAGGCTTTGTCCTTACGTTTGTTGCCTTTAGGTTCTTCGTTTCCGTCGTTCGTTCGCTTCGGTCGGTCGCTTCGATGTCTAAGCGAGGTTCTTCCCTTTCGGCGGGCAAGGTTGCTGCGGCCTTGTCTTCCCTTTCGGCGTCGGTCGATGAGGCTTCTCTTCTTCGGAAGGAGGTTT